TTTCATTGTCTCGGCCTAATAGGGAAAGAACAGAAATACACCTAACAGGTAAAGGATGGGCTAGATCTAATGAAGGCCAATTACATCACAGCCAAGTTTTGGTTCTTCGAAGAAGGAAACTGAGGCTGGCAAATCAAGTCATCACATAGAAGAGGGTAAAGGGGTATCATGAGTATTGCCAGATAAGCCTCAGAGCCACCGCAGGAGCAGCGCTTGAGTTTCAGCAAAATAAAGCCTTGTAATGAATATCTGAACTAGAAGTGAATTGATTTTTGTTTTGTTTGTGCTTAATTTGTAAGTTTTGTGTGTCTGTTTTACTGCCTATGTGTGGAATAGGAGGAATTTACACTAGTTTAGTGTTTGTATGTAAGGAATATATTTTATTTCACAGTGTTAGAACAGTTTCTCCTCGAAGAAGAACGGGTACGTTGTTGAGGTTTGAGAAACACGTGCCAGTGGATGTCCCTTCAAGCCCCAACATGTACTTTTAGTGATCTAGTTGAAACACTTATGTCATGTGTGGGGCACCTGGGTGGCCCCATTGGTTAAGCGCCCGCTTCAGCTCCGGTCATGAACTCGCAGTTTGTGAGTTTGAGCCTGGCGTCGGGCTCTGTGCTGACAGCTTGGAGCGTGGAGCCTGCTTGAGATCTTCTGTCTCTCTCTCTGCCCCTCCCCGGCTCGTGCGCACTCACTCCCTCTCTCTCTCTCTCAAAAAATAAATAAATAAATAAATAAATAAACATTAGAAAAAAATCAAACACTTATGCCATGTTTGGGTATCTCAGCACTTCCTTCCTTCATGCCCCACGTATGTAGGTAGGACAAAATCTCAGATCTTTAACATGCCCTTCGTGCCCCTTGCGATCTGTCCTGGACTGGATGCCCTCATTCCCCGTCCAGACGTCTCTGGGTTACTCTGCATCCCTGCCCCCTGCCCCACCACCACTGCTTGCTGCCCCTCACTTAGCTAACTCCTCCTGGGTCTTGAAATCACCTCCCCAGAGACTCCTTTCCATGCCCCAGCAGACAAAAGCAGGCTGCCTTGTCACAGTGGGTCACATCCTGTACTGTCCTTCACAGGAATGTCACGCTGAAACTACAACGAGGGTGACTATATATACATATACTTTTTTAAGTTTATTTATTTATTTTTGAGAAAGACAGAGCGAGCAGGGGAGGGGCAGGGAGAGAGGGAGACAAAGAATCCTAAGCAGGCTCCGTGCGACTTGAATTCACGGACCATGAGATCATGACCTGAGCTGAAATCAAGGGTCGGACGCTCAACCGACTGAGCCACCCAGATGCCCCTAATTAGTGTGATTGTTATTCAGTTATGTCTGATTCCAAGAAGCCAAGGGCTAGGACTCCTCTGTCCTCTGCTAGACATACTGTGCCTGGCACACAGTAGGCACCCACTGATGGCAGTTCCTACCCACTCAAGCCTCTTAAAACTCCTACATAATCGGCTGCCCTCACTGCTCCCAGAACAGAGAACTGGCAGGGAAAGTCTTCCCCAGGGACCAGAGAAGTTTCTCACAAAGTCCATGACCAGAGAAGGGGCTGAACAAGGCCCCAGGTGAACTGTATATAGTACTTGCCCTGTGACTTCAGACAAGTTACTTCACCTGAGACTCAGTGTCGCTGTCTGTAAAATGGGGAGAACAGTACCTACATGTAGCAAGTTGAATAAAGACGTCCACATCCTAAAACTTAGAATTTGTGATTATTTATATGACAAAAAGGACTTTGCAGGTAGGATGAAATTATGGATTTTAAGATGGACGATTATCCTGGATGGTCCAGGTGGGCCCAAGTCATCGAAGGGTCCTTTTAAAAGGAAGTTAGGGGAGTCAGTCAGAGAAGGCAATGAGACAACAGAAGCAGACGTTGGAATGATGGAGAAAGGGGCCTCTAAAAGCTGGACAGGGCAAGGAAATAAATTCTGTCCTGGCCTCCAAAAGGCACGTAGTGCTGCCAACACCTGGATTTCAGGACTTCTGACCTCCAGAACCATAAGAAAATACTTCTGTGCTGTGCTAAACTGCCGTGTTTGTGGCAGTTTATTACAACAGCAATAGCAGACCAATATGCAACCTCATAGGGTTTTTGTGAGGATTGAATTGGTTGACATGTAAACACTCAAGAGCACCAGGCACCTAGTAAGCGCTCAAAAAGCGTCGGCTGGGGGCGCCTGGGTGGCTCAGTCGGTTAAGCGTCCGACTTCAGATCAGGTCACGATCTTACCACTTGTGAATTTGAGCCCTGCATCAGGCTCTGCGCTGACAGCTCAAAGCATGGAGCCTGCTTTGGATTCTGTGTCTCCCTCTCTCTGCCCCTGCCCCACTTGTGCTCTGTCTCTCAAAGATAAAACAAAAAAATTTATAAAAAAATAGTGTCGGCTGGTTCGATTATTATTTTTACCGAATTCCTCAGATGATTGCCCAAGTGATCTTTCTAAACACACAGCTCACCACAAAGTCCCTATTTAGAAGCTTTCAGGGCTGCCCACCGCACACAACAGAAGCCCCTCGGCCTGCTCTCCCCTCTCCAGCCTTCCCACGCTGCTCCCCGCCCAGTCACCCAGCACTATTTATTGTCTGACTTCCCCTACTACAGTGCGAGTTCCACAGGGCAAGGGCTCGGTCTTACCTCTGTGGCTTCAGCACCCCTAACAGGTCCCGAACACCACACAACAGGTCCTTGGGACACGGGTGCCTAACGCACGACTGAGTCCCACCCTGCGAAGGGCTGAGCACACATGGCTTGCATTGTCCTCACATCTTTCAGGACCGGACTCCCTCTGTCCTCATAGGTCACCCTAGGTGCCCATCAGTCTGACAGCATCATCCCTCTGCTTAAAACCCTCCTACTGCTCCCTAAAGTCTCTAAGATAAAGGCCAAGCCTCAAGGCCTCAAGGCCTCTTCTGCGCTCCATTCTCACTCTAACTACTCTGACATCCTCTTACTGCCTGAACAGTTAGGCCTCCCAGCTTCTGGACCCTTATGTATGCTGCTGCCTCTGCCTGAAATACCCTCCCTCACCCCCTTCACCTGGCTAACATCTCCTCATCCCTCAGGTCTCTGCTTCAAGCTCCCTGAAGGTATGACATGCTGTTTATCTCATGTCTTGCAGTATCCCTGGGACCTAGCAGTACAAGGCATCTGCTGAATGAACAGGAAGTTGTCATTAGACCATATGTGCTTCCTGGCACCTGACTCACTGTGAATCCCGGCTTAGCCCAGACCTGGGGGTTCTGCCTTAGTGCTCTTGGCCTCGACCCCTGCCCATCTTCCTGCTCTGTACCTGTGCCAGTCCCATGGTGATGAGCGATGACTTGATCCACGGTGCCCCGCCCCACCTCAACCCCAGCCCCCAGAATGCCCAGTATTTACTTTAGCTGTACCAAATCAGGACCTGGCACTTGTGCTAGAGAGTATGGGAAAAAGCATTGTTGTGGACCACTGTTAAACACGGCAACAGGCGTTACAGGGTTATCCCTCTGGCAAGTTACTGTGGTATTCAAACATGCGTTCTGTTAACATTCCCCTTTACTTGAACTCTGTCAAAATGTGCAATGGAACTGTAACCAACTTTCAATATTTCTTAAGAAAGGCATTAGGGGTGCCCTGATGGCTCAGTCTGTTAAGCATCAGATTTTTGATTTGGGCTCAGGTTATGATCTCACAGTGTGAGTTCAAGCCCCGCATTGGGCTCTGCGCTGACAGTGTGGAGCCTGCTTGGGATTCTCCCTCTCTCTCTCTCTCTCTCTGCCGCTCCCTCCTTCGTGCACACATGCTCTCTCTCAAAATAAATAAGCTTTAAAAAAAAAAAAAAAGGAAAAGAAAAAAAGGCATTGAAAAGAAAACAGGGTCTGGAGACCAGTGCACCTCCTTTTCAATACATTCAGCTTCCTACCAGCTTAACCAGTGGGTCTGACCCATGTGTTAATAACTAAGGAAATAGTGTTTCACACCCTGTGCAATTTTTATTTAAAAAAAAAATTTTTTTTTAATGTTTATTTATTTTTGAGACAGAGACAGAGCATGAACGGGGGAGGGTCAGAGAGAGAGGGAGACACAGAATCTGAAACAGCCTCCAGGCTCTAAGCAGTCAGCACAGAGCCCGACGCGGGGCTCGAACTCACGGACCGCGAGATCATGACCTGAGCTGAAGTCGGACGCTTAACCGACTGAGCCACCCAGGTGCCCCACCCTGTGCAATTTTTAAATCAATCAGTAAAAATAAAATAACAGCCAATGCCAGAGTACAATAGACGTTTTCACAGAACTTCTGTTTCAATTGGCACATACATATGAGTGCTCTGGATCACAATGGAAAAACCATGGGCTAAAGGTCAAAAATTGTGAAAACTCCTGAGATGGCTAATCCTTACTTTCTGATCATTTCCCCTTCCGATACCAAAGTATTCTCCATGTTACTTTTGCCCTGTACATTCCTCACTTTATTTACAGCCACTGGAACTCTAAGCATTGGGGCGCGGAGTGTGATCCAGAATAAACCAGTTGGCCAGGGCCAAAAGCCTCTCCACGACTCCACGATACATAGGGCCAACTCCGGGAAGTATGTGACCCACTTTGGAAGACCTTATCCCTGGCTCCCCAGGTCCTGGGCTCCCGCACCTCTAACCCGACTGCCCTAAGCTCCAAGATCCTTGGGCTTTACCCACTCCTGTGCTTCTCAAATGGGCCTGAGCCACACCCTGCTGGGGTAACCGGTGCAGGGGCTCGGCCCTTCAGAAGTGGGTGGGGCCGTCCTGAGAACAACGTGTAACCCCAGTTCCCACACTTCCTGTTTACTTTCCCTCTTCTCCCCTCGCAGGCCTCCTGGCCCGACCCCCCTGTAGGTTACCGGAGTCCGAGGGGGCGAGGTCTGGGCACACAGCTCTGAAGTGAGCCGTGGGGTCAGGGGTGCCGAGGTCCGGTCGGGACACGGCCGCCACGTGCGCTCTCGGCCACCTCCCGCACACTGCCGCTCTTACCCGAAAGTCGTGGGCAGTGTCTTTCACTGGCTGCACGCGGTGCCCCTGGTGCCGGGAGTCGGCCTGGCACGAGCAGCACAGCAGCTCCTTGTCATCGAGGCAGAAGAGGCTGAACTGGCCGCGGTGCAGGCGGCAGAGGCGCGCGGATCGGTGGCCCGCCCAGCGCGCGCCCTCGGACTCCTCGCGCAGCAGTTTCTCTACCAGGTTGTTGAGGGTGTGGTTAGTGCGCAGGTCGGCTAGGGCCGCGCGGTCCTTGCACACCGGGCAGGTGGGCGTCACCTGCACCTCCCAGCAGCGGGTCACGCACCCGCGGCAGAAGTTGTGGCCGCAGCGCAGAGTCACGGCATCGCGGAAGGGATCGTAGCAGACGGCACAGAGCAGCTCCTCCTTGAAGGAGCGGGAAGGCCCGGGGGACACGGCGGGGCCCAGCTCCATAGCTGTGGCCACCGGCTCCCAAGCCGGTAACTTTGACTCCCACCCCTCCCACCCACCTCGAGGATTCGGGACCCGCGCGGGGCGGCTCCCGACCCCTTCCGTCCGGCGCGCTGAGCGACAGAGGCGCGGGCCAATCGCGAGGGACGCGCTCTGGAGGCTCCGCCCTAATTCCAGTCGGCGCAGGGAAACCCCGGAAGAGCGGGGCGGGACCCTGTACTTCGCGGTTCCCGCCGGTCCCGCGCGTGCTCGTTGGCCTCCGCC